GAAACAATTTTCTAAGGAGGTTTTTTTTTTTTTTTTTGAATTAAATAATGCAAAGTAAATATTTTCAAGTGCAACGACGCACCTTATCAAACAGCTTTTATTAGACTACTCACTTTAAAGAAAGCCTGCCACCAGAGAATTATAGGAGCTGTCATTGCTGATCTTCTACAGGGTAATGCTAGCTGCCTGGGTGTTAGGCAAACATTTTTGGTTTCAGTATTTGAGTGTCAAATCTGGAAGTTGCTTGTCGGAGACTTCTATTGAAGCAAAGGCCTTCTTGTTTCTTGCATGACAGGCTCGCTTTAAACGGTTCTTGGTTATATACATTGCTTACTACACTGCATTGATGAATGCAACCTAAAAAGTATATGTAAACACAGTCACATGTTTAATATTTTTTTATTCTGCAGCTTCCCTTAAAATAATATCATGCAATGAAAGTCCTTGTTTGGGCACTTCCTGTTATTGGGTGCAACACTCCTGTCCCTGTCTCCCAATGGAGACTACAAGTGGCCTCTTCATAACACCTTTTGCATGCCCCCCCCCCGTTGTCGGCATTAAGAAGCCCTAAGTGCAGTCATCACTGGAGTACATGTAGAGAGGAAGCGACGACTTTATTGCATTTCTGCAAAACTAATATGCAATGAAAAAAAGTGAAAACAGTATTTTTTTTCCCTCAATATATTTTTATTTATTTTTAACAAGTTAACAAATCATTGCATAGAGACAAGAATCGGAATATAAAAGTTGCAAGTAGCAATAAAAATAAACACATAAAAAAAAATTGTTCAGTGCAAAAAACAATCACAAAGTCCAGAGTGAAAACAGTATTTTAATTTTTTTTTTTAAAGTTTGAGTTCTGTGCTTTGGCAAACTGTCATACGTAAGTTGTTTAGCCCAGTTTTTATGCTCTGCTCACGTTAAGTACAGTGATTTGGAATATCCAAGCAAATGGATCGGTTGCAACCAATAAATGTATTTGTACTGCCATGTTTGCAACAGTGTTTAAACTAATGGAACTTTGTGTGTGTGGTAGGCAGCTTAGTAAAATCCTTTTGAACTGCATTTATTTTGGTGACCACTAGAGGCGCTGTTCCATCACTAAAACTGCTTTTCTTACAGCCATCAGATCCTACCCAGAAGTTTAACTGCTTGTGTGTGTGTGTGTGTGTGTGTATATATATAAAATGTAATATATGCAAAGAAGGAATAGCAAATATTTTTTTTAAATCTCTGAAGCTTATCAGGGCTGCCAGACAATGTGTAAGATAAATTGCATTCATGATGATTTCCCAGTGTACAGCAGACTTCCTGTTTAGTAATCCTGTGGAAGGACACAGCACGCCTTTGTCTAAGATGACTGATAACAGAACAATAGCTCACATATAGCCGTACTGCAGATTTAATTGCACTTGCAAACGTTTTGCCTTTTTCAAAGTCTTGTAACGTGCGCATATCTACCATGTTAGTTGCTGACTGTCCCTCTGAGGCTCCATTCACATAACGGTAGTATTTTTGCGCAGGGAAAACCGTGCAGAATGAAAACTAACGAAACTGCGCAAACAATATACGCGTGGATTCTGCACGTTTGCAGCTATTACGCTTGAACTATTATGTGGGAGGCACGGTTTCGTAACCCGCGGCCGCCGCAATAGTCTGAACAATGCACAGTCCGTGCGTACGGCCCAATATGTGCGGAAAACTGCACGTGTGAATGGGGTCTTGCTGCAGGACCACTTTTTAGACTGTCTTGACATGCAAGGGCTGCAGTTGGTTTTTTGTCTTTTCTATTGCGGGAGGTGTTGTCCTGCTTTTTTCTTTCTTTCTTTTCTTGAACGTTGGCAATCATGTAGCACAAGCAGCAGAAAGACTCTGGAATATTGGAGGTGTAATTGATCAGTGTTCCAGCCGTATGTTTTTGCATCTTCCAGCACGATGTTGTCATCTGCCACTCCATAGGCAATAAAAACATGCTGGCAACAGTTGATCCATTTACACCTGCGCGTTGTGGCAACATGCGCATTGCCACAATGCATGCCAATGCAGTTGTTACAGTGCCATTTAGTGTGAATGGCATCCCAACCTACTGACAGCTCCTATAATTCTCTCGTGGCAGGCTTTCTTTAAGGTGAGTAGTGTAATAAAATGTGCATACTGTGTGTTGTAGTGTGCTGCATTTTGGGAGAAAGGGTTGTGCACTTTTTCTGTCTGCTGTGGTGCATTGGCAGCCCTTTCACAATGAAAGGGTTGCCTTAAACCATGCATTAACAGATCACTTTAGTGGTTGGCACTTTTGCATTGCAGTATTTGTGGGCCCCTGGTTCAAATCCCAGTCCGTAGGGCTGCAACCAACTAATCAATAATTCGATGAGAATAGTTGTCAACTATTCTCATTATTGATTAGTTGGTTGGATCCCCTAGCTCTCTCCTCCACGCTGGGAGGAGGGCACAGCAAGCAGTGGGCGGGTACAATAGCAACATGCTATTGGCGACTGCACTTTTAAATGGCCAATAGCAGACTGGTTATTGCACCTGCTGTATTTACATCCATCTGCCGTCTGCAGAATCTTGCCACTGGCAGCTGCCATTCCCTGGCTGAAGCTATTCGAGCACCATGTGCTTACAAAATGATAAAAAAAAAAAAAAACAATTATAAAATGGTGGGTAAAAAAAGTCATTTTTGGTTTCAGCCTGACACATTTTGCTGCTGGAGGTGCTTTGCAGTTCCATTCATTTTACTGGCACCCCAAACGCGCCTC